TTCCCCCCCCCCCCGAGGAAAAATGTTGATAACAGAAATAGGCAACGCCGGGCGTAATTACGACCTCTTTACCTTTTTAAGTTATGAGACGTATTGTTAACCGGAACGTACTTCACGAAACATTTGCTGCGCTCGCCACAGTCGATACTACAACAGATCCAGTAAACTTCCCCAATCACTAACTCATGCACAACGTACACTGCCCCCGAGTGCTACGACTTCTCCCATTTTAACACGGCACGAACACGCTGACAAATTCATCCTTAAAGTTAGGAGCGTACGATTTCATTTTCCGACTACCGTACTTGAATATTTCTATCCGAAGTTATCTGAAGTTGTGCACTTTCCCATGTCTTGATAGTTCTTCTTCTTACAGTGGATTGCTGAAAAAGGATATATATTTCGCCTTTTTAGCTTGTGGTGTCGTTCCCTTTAGTCTCTTACTAAATGGGATACTAAAGATCGCCTCTAGAAAACCTTATTGCACTGTGCCAGCCTGAAGCGATAACCAAGAATATCAGTACATAAAAGCTATGTGAGTCCGCATTGCATCTACTGATCATTCTAGAACCATCCTTCAAACCGGAAATATCGGAACTAATCTCAATGGTTTTCCTTCGTCGTAAATTGGGTCCGGCCGGCTCAGACACTTCTGCTTCTCTTCTAGGTAACCGATTGTTTATGTAGTTTTTACATCCACATTATCTATGTACACATACATTCTCTGTCTTCGGTAAAACGGTTGCGTTGAAGTTTACCATTATTGACGAATAAGCAGTATTCTTCTCCTGCGTCAAACCTTACTATCTGGGAGGACTTGATAGCACCTCCATGCCAATACTCACTAAGTCCAAGTTAGATTCAGTTTGAGGACGTCTGGCAACAGTAATGTTTTGTAATCCCCGTCCCAAAATGGTGCAGGTCACTGCTTCCTTGTGAGCAGGACCAGAATTTCAATGCTGTTGAGACTTATGACCCTCTATCGGTCACTGGTTCAAATGTTTTGACCAAAGGACTGCCCATTACTTCGCAGCGTCCCGTTCACCTTCCTGTACTTAGTAGGTAATTTACGAAACTAGAGTTTTCGAAGAATGCAATCAGTACCCCTTGGTAGGCGAATTTTGTTGATTTTTTGGCACATTCTTTTCACAATCTCTTTGCGTACTTACTGACCGGATCTGGACCGACGGGCTTTCTGCTTTCTGCGCAATAGACATTGCTTCATTTTTCGTCAGTTACCAACCTGTTTTTTTATGTCAAATTCAAGACAATTTCATGGGCAGAATCTACCATGACAAACTTAATAAATCATGACATTCGACATTTTGTCTCCCTCCCATTTTTAAGTTTACCAGTCTTTTTTGTTGCGGGTCATTTTGCATGTGATTGCGCTTTTTGAAAGTAAACTATGCTGCATACGACAGCAGCAAGAACAGCAATAACCCACTTGTCAAGCTGCTATAGGACATAACCCATAGTTTTTAGCCATACATAGTGTAGACATTGTCTGTCCTTGAAACGTTGCCCGAACTCAGACGAAAAACCAAATTCTAAAAAATACATGCAGCATTGCTTTGATGTTTCGCATCCTTAGAACCATGGGCGGATGATAATGGATGATATCTGTAAGTCAACAACTTTGGTAGATGTTTTTAAGTACATGGAAAAGCTGGGTTTACTTATGCGTCTCCTATCGCTTAGCTGACCTTCCTATGCACTTCCCATGGCTGTCATATAGGGACCATTATGTGCATAAAACGTCTACTCACTGAAGGTCTAAACTGCTCTAACATACCAATTTAAATCAGGGCCGCGATACTATCGATGGCTGGATTTTGTAAATACATATCTAACCAAATTTTCCCAGACTGCCCAACAACTGGTCATTGCCGTAAAAGCTAAGCCTGTTTGTATTCAAACAAATGTGGGCGAAACTGTCTACACAACTTTTGAGTAGTGCAGCGAGCAGCCAAGCGTGAGGATAACGCATACCACGAAAACAAAGGAGCCTATTGCTCAAGAGTTACGACAATGTTCGGTTTGTACGGTGTTGTCAAACGAAGAATGCTTTCGTTATTTCACCTCCTGCCATTTGATTCTTTGGCAAAACTTCAGTGACGTTTTTTGTTCTTTCAGCCGGTGAGCTTCTAATCCATGCATCTGTTTGAGAGCCCTGGAGAATTTTCTCCGGAATAACTATTGGATGGTCGTCCACTGAACGGACCGGTTTGTGAGAGTTACTACCTATGTAAGGGTTGAGAGTTCCCGCAGAGAAGAAACCCTGGTCCTACAGAACATGGCTTGGCTTGGGCAGCCCACGATGGGTTTCGCCCTTCTTAAAGTTCAACAGTGGGGCTATATCTCCAAAAATCCGACAAATGGTGTGCAACCGCGCGTATATCACCATTAGTTTGTGGTATTAATGTGACATTCTCATAATGTCATCTTGTTATAAGGTGGTACGTTAAATGTATTGTAGAGGGTTCAAATGACAGATTTGTTGTTCATTAAAACAACAGTTTCTATCCTACCATCCGTGTCTGTTTAAAATTCACTAAAGTTTCCTAGTGCAACTTAACCAACAACCATGCTTATTCAGCTCGGGTTTGATACTTTTCTGTGTCAGGTAGGTGGGTTATCTACCAGAAACGCAAGGGAATCGTGTACGATGGTCCCTACCTCAGCCTCCAACAGTCCGTCTGCAGATTGTGGGCTCAAGCTTTTACCTGCCTGTGGGGTGTTGCTAGCATGAAGAGTGTTGTGGCACTAGTGCTTACGAGATTTCTGCCGTAACCGAATTGCTTACCTCAATGGATTCACGTTGCAAATGGTTACAACCAATCCAGCAGTCCGACGATGCGTTGCAGTTGGTCCCTGTTTTCGCTCAACCATCTCAGAAATGTAGGGCAACATAGCGGACAAATTGGTATTGAGAGGCACATTTGGTAGATCCTCACGATCCGCGTTGACCATTTGGTTGGTGTATACAAAATAATGCTTCATTGCTTCGTATTGATGATACCACTGAATGATTCGGTAGGTAAGGACAAGTAGCACAACCAGGCAAGCAAAGAACATTGCAAGCCTACAAAGGAAGTGGGAAAAAGACATGTGGTAAGACTAAGTCTAAGTCTAAAGGTGAAAAACGTAAGCAAAAACCTTCTTCAAATACTAAATTTTGTACTTCGCATATTCGATTTCGCTCGCACGAGGGTTGGGAGACAGCTGGAAAAATGGTCGAGTTGGAAACCCAAGTTCTCATCTGGTGTTCCCAAGACCACATCATTTGTACGCACATGTTGTCGTTCGAGACACCGTTGACATACTTCTGATGGGTATGGTCAGTGTATTTTACATGAAACTGTTCTGTTCACTACTGAGATTCTATCCGCATAAAACAATGCTCTTTCGAAAGTTGCTGTTGAACACGATTCAATATATGGTTTTTTACTATCAGATCACATGTATTTATCGACTGCTGTCGAATTATGTACACAACGATATGGAAACAAATTTGGCAAAATCCGAAAGCACGAATTCACCACTGACCATGAACTGATGCACCTTGTTTGGAAGTTAACTTTCGAAAAACGGAGAGAATACAACGGGTGTAAGTTTGTGATGATTGTCCATTATTGATAACTCCGGCATGGATCTCTTCGTTGCCAGCCCCATCATTGTTGAGTTTCCTTTCTGGACACTTTTGATCATCTTTAGTTCATCTACCAGTCTTTTGCCACATAATTCGTTGTCATGAGGGGCCAGTTGTTTACCGGTTTATGACTGTCACTATTCCCTGGATTATTGACTTGACAACTGTTAGCTTATATGGTAAATCCGTTATCATCTTTCGGAAACTACTGAACTACTCTGTTATTCAGTGAGAGTTCAGCGGACATGGACAGGTGAGAAGCACAAATGGACACAGTTACTTGCTTGCAATTCAATGTAGAATGATAATAATAAATTCTTAATGGATCTCTTTATCCTTTTGGATTAGTAGCATCAACATCACCAGCATCGGAAACACAACACTTATTATCGTCACAGTCACCACCGGTACATCAGTCACCACACAAATAGACAAAATAACGCCAACAAAATATCTAACCGACATAAGAGTGGTGGATGATTATTCTGTGAATAGTACAAAAGCAATGTAGCGAAGGAAAACATCCATACGGTCAACAACGTGGCCTACACACCTTAAAACATCGTCGGTATGGGCACATTCAAGCGCCATAGTGAAACCAAATTTCTTTACGAAGTTTTTGACGAAGAAAATGATGTCCTCAGTAACGGACGGTGTTTGGGCATGGGAGCACATATCCGCAAACACCTTAAACTAACGAAATTTATTCGCTGCTACAGTGAATCTGTTTTGCCCAAATTACTGCGTTATATGCACGTGTTAGTGCATATGTTTTACCGAGGACGTAATACTGGGCATCCAAATACCAGGGTTAGTGGGCATACGAACAACTAAGCAGCCCAGCCAAGCTACCTAAATTACGCCACACAACTTTCTGCTAGAAGTCACTCTCAGTTCCGCGTGTAATAACTGTACCGCATTCCTTTGAAGATAATGCCAGTGGTTAATCCATGATGGTCTCATGCGTTTTCGAAATCTTCCTCCATAAATATGGAAAATTTGCTTTTTACAGCATAACTGAGTTCCCAGGAGTTGCTCAGGCATCGCAAATATAGTCGGAGCTGAAACACTGATCTCAGTGCCTCTCTAATCTGACACGTAATGCTTTTGTACGTTAAGAAGACGGTTGCTGGATGTTTGAGGAATATAACAAAATAATCCGATTTCCAAGGCTCCATATCTTTTAGTATTTGTTAGGGTGACCGTTGTAATTCTAGAATAAACATTTGCGACAGCACCGTCTTCATTTTGAACTAGTAGGACCTAATATATATTTGAATGGAAAAAATCCTTGCGAATAGGAAGATCCGCACATGTGATTCTATTCTGAAATTTAGAGATATAGAGACACATAATACTGCAGAGGCAGTAGAAGTTTCCATCTTTCGAAAATGTGACCAGAAAGTTGCCATAAGAAGCTTTTATTAATAAGATAGTGTACGATTTGTGGGATTATTGGTGAACAACATATGAGACGAGGCCACCTAAGTCATCTCCTACAGGGAACTACACATGGAGCGTTTGTTTAAATTATGGGCCCTATATGGCAACTGAAACATTTTCCGTAGAGTTTCCTCTCATATGATAAGAGACATGCACCACTGACTCACACAGAAAAAAAGACCGATTTCCCATGAAAAGTTTATGACGCCCAACAGAAAATACTTCCTTCCTAAATTCCTAATTATTACCTGATTCGTTTAATATTTTAGAGGGGTGACACAAACACTAGCGTTATTTACACTGTTTGCCTTTAGTGTAATCTGGACAGCTCATTTTGATAACTGGTAAGTCAAATTAAGAATCTCATGACCTGGGAGCAATTCACCTGTGAGGGGTGAAATCGAAACGTCCCATCTCATATAACCCAGAGCCAAGTGCATTGCTTACATTTTGGTAGCGAACCCCAGAGTAGACAATCTTGTGAGGTTCATTTGATATTGAAAGGACCCTTCCGAAAATGCACCCTGTTGTATCGTGATAAAAAATTATGATACATACAAGTTAGTAAGGAAATCATCATCATCGAGAATAATTGTATTTTTAATGATACGTTCAGCCCGTGGTGTGAAATCCTGAATTGCTATCTGTTACTTGCCATTAACCGGAGTGGTCTTGTGCACAAGCATGCCCATTACTACATCGGAGTATTTTGGACATCAAACCAGACATTCCACAAAAGTTGGCCGCTGGGTACACCCAGAAACGGACATGAGAACATGAGTTGTAAATCAACGTGCCAAAATGACATATCCAACAAGTTATACAGACACAAATAATTTATTCGTCTTTAGGGAGATATATACGTTAACCGAAACACTCAATTTATCCACCTTTATGGCTGCAGAGAAAAACTTCCTTTTTAACAGAGCATTTTGGACAAAATAATACAGTCGTATATCAACCACAGGTGAGTTTGATCGTCAAGATAAAAGCACGCTTTATATCTCAAAAATACAGACCTGAGTTCTACAGTAAAATTTTGCTAGGAGGCTCAAGATTGAGGAAGAATTTAATTGGACAACAACGCAACGATTTTCTCGGTACGAGGGGTAATTGTGATCTGATGCAAGTTCACAAAACACAAGAAGCCCTCATGTTTGTCCATTTACCAATGCAATTAAAACCGTTTATTGCAGTTTGCTGCAAACTCTCTCGGTCGGCGGAATAAGCAGTAGAGCAGACGTTTCTCTCTTTTCTCCCATATTCTCTTGTTACCCTTTCACATTTATCCCCTTTGCATTCACTTTTTATGCTTGTGACCATGCTCTTCAAAAATAAATAATAACAGTAATAGTAGTATATTGTTTCGTGCGTTTGAGGTGGGCTTGATGTAGTCTTCCCAAAGATGCAGATACCCTCATTACGCTGCACATTAAAAGGAACTGAGGTGGAATGCTCTTGGTTAACAAGTGACTTCTGGTGTTTTCACACTGTTCAGAATAGATTGGTCACCTTGGGTGGAGGGTGTTATTTTACGGAAAGTCGAATAAAAATGGGTGAAAAAGAGTGCAAGACGCATAGAGACATTCGCGTACTTGGCTTGGTTGCTCCCATTCATTAAGTGATGGTCTTGGTACAAGTTCTTCCAGAGATGGTCTCTACTTAGAGCGCCTGAAATGAAAAAAATTTTCCTGCTCTTGCAGCGACTTTTTGTTGGAAAGGTTCTTCTCACAACTTGTAATGTCAGTAAAGAAGAACATGTGTCATTTCCGTGCAAATCTGCCACGCAAAAGATCTGGGTACTACCAGGTGCCCTAACCTATGCGGGCAGTCCAGATGCCGCAGTTAAACTTGAGCCGCCGATTTTCAACTCGGCAAGATTGCACCATAACAACCGAGCGTTCTAGAACTCTGTGAGAATTGACATTCTAATTTGAGACACCAACGTTGACTTTCGATTTGCAGTACTAACAAAAAGCTGTTTTAAAATTTGAATATCCAGTCTTGCCTTGTCGTGATCTGCGACGCGACCCTTTATCTATAAAGACAGATACTTATCCATCTCACGTGTCCAGTAACTAAACACTGACTAATTAAACTGCTTTATACAATACTTTGTACTTCACTGCATAGGAACAGCGATTAGCAATTTTATACACAAAATGAGATTTTCAGAACCAAATCATATATTATCCTGATGTATTTATTCTATTCATTCGCGCTATATACCCTTAAACTGATGTCACGTACACATTTACTGCTCCACTGCGCGCAATTTTTCTAGCTAGTCCTGCACGTTACACAAGTAATCAAGATTCACCGTTGTTTTCAGTGCTAATTTGTCAAATGATTCATCTGGTGGGTGTAAGGAAAATACCCAGATGATAAGAAGCAACTGGGTTCATATCGTTCGGAAGGTAAACAAATGTTTAAGTACATAAACACAAATATGCTAAGGGTGGTTCTGCATGGATGGCATTGAAGATCGACTGAAATATAAATACGTATATGGTCACGTAAATAATGCCTCCTGTTCATCGTGTCTGTCAACAATTCATTGATTGTTGGCAACATACTGAGCAAGTACACAAAAATCAAACATCCCACACAGAACTCGTACTCACAAGTATGCTGTACTCGATGAAGAAAACAAGCAGCGTTATATATCCTCCACAGGTTTTTTCATGTTATGTGGAGCTTCAAGAAATACGTGCGCAAATGTGGATCACAATGACCCATTTTAAGCCAACATACAAAGTACCATAGACAAATGAGAATGGTGCACGCGTGACACTTTAATTTTTTTTTCCTCAGAGGATCCAGAACACTGTTACTTTACGACGTTTTAAACGGTACTCATCTTCGATCCAAGTAGTACAATGATGTCAGACACGTCCTTATTATGTTTCGGTAGGGGAATGACTGATGACAAGATCTATCTACAAAAGAATGGCCGCATTTTCTTGACTCCAAAATGGGCTTTGAGGAAGAGCCCAGCAAAATCACTCAAATAAAAAATACATTTCTTGCCCATACCATCTTCTGACGTTACGATTTTGACCGGTAATCTTGAAAAATAAGAAGACGACTTGGATACGAGTAGTGTGATCATTACTACTGAATCCAGGCACCGGTCACCAAATGTCGGTGACAGCATTTGACTGCTCCGTAGAACGGTCATTGAAAGATCTTAACCTATTGACACAATCATTCCATATCATACCTCAATTTATTTGCTGGAAAACAGTCTTCCATGAAACAAACGCCTAAACGGGAACGCTGCGCGTAGTTTTGTTCGTCTTGTTTAACCGGAGGTTCTATGAAAATGTGGCATTCTTCCAGATTCCCGAAAGTAGTAAGTGCACCCATAGTGAAAGTGGTTATAAGCTAAATGAGTGGGAATAACCCTTGGGCCAAAATGCTATATGGTCAAGTACCGATCTCTCTGTATGACCCGGGTCGTACACAAGGGAGCACAATGTTTTGTGGTGGACACTAGAGCACTGTACATGTACTTTTAAAAAAATTGGGATGGTTTTACACATTTCATTATTCAATATATTTCGAGTACTCCAACGGAATTTTGATGGTTTTGATAGCCTAAACACTGTTTCAATTCTTAATATTTCTGAACCGAAGCGCCATAAAAACTCTCCCCCATAACTTTCGACTGGTAGTTGTCCACGAACCACCTCGAAACCTAATGCCTCTACAGAAATCTCTCCATTTGGAAAGTAGGATCCACACATTTATAAAATAATATTTTATAAAGAACGATTTTAGTAAAATCACGTTTCAAAAAAGATTACACCCCCTGTGGAATAAACTCTTTTTTATGTCTAGCCAGCGGCGTCTTTGTTTTTTTCGTCCTAAATATCTTCATCGATCCAATCGAGATCGTTTGATAGACATCCTTGTCAGTGAAGACGACAAATCTATTCGTACAAACTGACTTCGGTAATCCTTTCTAAAATCCAAATAATAAATGTTGTTGGAAAAATAACGCCCTTAAAAAGTGAATTGGCTCTACCTGGGCATAGATTAATTTGACTGCCAATTATGACAGCAATCGTCTCCCGGATCCAAGAATTCCTGAGCTGAGTTGATACATATCTGGGTCAAACTGCTCAGCATTTGTCTCGCGAAAATTTGGGAATCTTATTAGCGCCTCTTGCATATAATAATAGTTTGATTGAGTTCGAAATTATGCGTCCGCAGAACAAAGTTTATAGTTCAAAATAATTGGGATCACTTTGAAATGAAACAGTTGATGTAACCTTCTATCGGCTTTCCCTCTTTGGTAAAGAGTTGATCTCACGAGGGCGAGTTTGTCTCGATAATTTTGCACAATGTCAAGCAAAAGCGACAAAACTTTAGGGTCGTTTAATTGTCCTACTTCGGAGGACTCGGACATTGAATTTATCATCACATATCGGACCCAAATGAACTGGGAGTGCGCAGGCCATAGTTATACACAAAGTATCTAATGGTCTTCTAATTGCAGCTAACGTGGCCCCAAACTTTTGATATTCCGTCTATTTGTTGCTTTCCCGATAAACACTTGAGAGTACAACTGCTTTGTCCTCAGACATCAAGGGCGTGTTCCATAAAAGCATATTTCGCTCACCTATGGGTTTCGAACGTATTGTGACGTGACTGAAGGTATTTTCGAATGCCAGCATAACTATAATATACGAAGGATATGGTAGCAACAGGCTTTTTTCATTTCTTTTCTCTTGTAAGGGTAGCAATAGGTGCTGTTCCTGCCAATAGATCAACCCAAGATCACCAGAAATGCAGAACGTGTAAAGTGGAAAATTAAACATGGAGTTGCGAAATACGACAGTATGTACTAAATTTCAGGAGAACTGGTCAAGAATTACTTTTTCTATAGAGGCGAGTCCCCTGTTAAGATCTGGGTGCGTAGGACTACCATCTTGGTTCTCAACCAAAACATATTTTACTACTTTATGTAAAACATTCTTCAAGTCTCGTTTATTTTAATTTCCACGGACTTTATTTCTAGGTCTGTATTATTTTAACAAATAACACAGTAAAAGCTACTCGCAGACAGTAAAGAATACCTTAAAAACGTTTCAGAACAATGAGAATCGCAATGACACAATCCAATGTGTAGAATCAACCGATGAGGCATAAATTTGCCCCACATTTGCGATGATCTACTATTGTACTCTGAGAGATGTTTGCTGATATAACACTTTCGAATGCACCATTTTCCACCGATCTTTCACGTCACAGACTGATGGTGTAAGGAGCATCGCCGTCTACTGATGGTAGAGTACCCACCATTCTTTCGTTCCTGTCTTATTGGGTATTAGAAATTCGTAAGAAATATGACCTTAGACAAACTGAATGAAGTTGGAGATCTTTAACGAAGAATATTGTATAAAATTTGTCACTATTATTACTGACAGGCTCTTGCTAAATTCAGTCTCAATATACTGTGTATCGAATTCCCGGCAAAGTTCTTAAGTTCCTAATTGCCGATGAAATAAAATTACTCACCATCGATACATTCGTGTGGATATTTTTGAGTGTTGTTCAACGGCATGTAATCTAGTGGTTGAACTCGGTTCCTCTGTGTCAAACAGGTTGAATTGTTTCGCTTGATGAAGCAGACAGGCTTCCTGGAACAGATCAGTTCGCATTGGGCATCCACTGTTCCGGTTATCTATCGGTGAGCAAAAATCCCCTGTTATACCGGACTGTTCATCTGCGCACCGATTTCCTCTGTACATCTTTGTAGGATTGCGATAGTGTAACTGGCAGGGTGTGAGATCTGCACACTGCGATAAGTAAGGGCGGGTGTTTTCCCTAGATATTGTCAGGCCTGTGTTCTGAGAGCACATATGACGGACGTCTTGTGTGGAATCTGTAATATTTGCGACAACATTGTTATTAATTATATGTTTACAATGCAGTTGCGTCCATGAGGGTTGCATTATCCTGGAAGGGGCTGATGAAGTTGCACAGGTCTCGGAATGTTCACCGGATGAAAAGTATAGGTTTTGAATGTCCGTAGTGTTTTCCGGGATACGGTCAAAATCTGGCATATCTTTGGAATTTCGTTGAGTCTCTACTGGGAGTTTATTATTCTTGTTGAACATATTAGTGTGAAACACACGAGGAACTATTTTTGATCTCGTAGCAAGCAGAAAATCGGGAACTCCGCTGTCCTGGTTCTCTTCATCTGTTGACAAGCACTTTGTATTGAATACATCAAAAGTACCAGCAAATATATTGGCGCTGCCATGTACAAGACATTTATGTTTTAATATATGGCCCTGTGTTGTGACATCCACTTTAGAGTTGGGAAACCGAATATCCAAATTAGCAGGTTGCTCGATTACCGTATTTAGATTGTTGTTCTTGGGAGATGACATGGAATAGTGCTACGGCGGTCGCTGCAACTAAACGCCTGAATGTCTCTCAGGTGTATTTCCTGGTTGGTATTCTCCCATGAGCAGCTCGAAACACAAACAACTGATTGGCTGCTCTCACAGGACCAATCGCCGTTTAGGCATTTTGAGCAATTTTGACTCATTCGCATCATTCCATGTGCAAGTTCCCGAAAATTTAATATATGATAATATTATCTCAAAGTAGTTGTTTTTACAAAAAACGTCCGCACATTTTCGGATCCGAATAATCATTGGGCGTGCGCCTAAACTGCGTGTATCAGTGGCGCCAGAAGAATTAAACAACTAATGAATAAATAATGAACGAACGGATGAGTATCTAAAAGAAACAATATGTGCTAGGTAGTGCTACAAAAGTGAAAACTAATGCCACATTTATCAAATTCGATTTCAGTAAGATCAACCAACAATTATTCATTTTTGGAGAAGCAAGATTTAGTGTACATAAATATTTACTTTTCCTTGGCATGGACTTCGCAGGAAGCTTGGATGCTTCGTGTCATGTAAAGCTCCAGTCACTCTCGGAACTTTTTTTTTAAAATCAATGTGCAGTGATCGTGCCAACTACCTTCACTCTCTACGCAAGTACTAAATAATTAAAAGAAAAAAAGCGGCTCAAATACTGGTCAAGGTCGGTAATTTCAAGTGGGGGTGCAGGATGTTTCGAAATGTATAGCCAGGATTAGGTTGCGAAAATGCGTTCAACTTCCACCAACTGAGTGACAGATGGATTGGCTGCGACAACGTCTGTGTCACGTACAACCTTAGTATAAAAGCACTTCTTGCAAGAAGGGTCTAATATTAGGCTAAATCCTGGTACTTGGATTATGTGTATATTTCTCCTCAAGAAATCACCACTCATTCGCACCTGGGAAAAGGTTTTCGGGTTTTTAAATGAAAAGTCGAGAAGCGTGAAACACAATAACATGAACACTTCTGCAACACATACCGTTATGTATTATGTAAAGATTACCCAGCGAATATCTCTTGAAATTTTAAGAATGCCTAAATGTTTCGGTAATTCATCAGCCCTTAGACATTACAAGTAATACACAACATTTTTATTATCAAGAGACGCTCTTATAGTCTTTACTATTTGGTCTCACCAAGAAATTCCAAAACCAACGAGTAAAATTTACAAATAAAATATGTAAACTAGGGGAAGAGGGCTTAAAGCAGAGATATTTTGTCATTGAAAAAGATAGCGTCACACTAGAAAATCGCTTTTCTTGGAGTGTGCATAGATATTCTAAACCTAGCTGTTCCAATTAGATCTTGGGGCCGTCCTACATAGCTCAAAGAAAAGACGGCAGTGTTCAAGTAGTTGACTTTCTGAAAGCTGAAATTCACTCCACTTTTTCGACGGGGTGGGAACCCGAATGTCACAAGGCTCTTTGCGGACACAAATCAATAACCCTGGCATCATTTATACTGTATGAGTTATATCTGGAGAAGGAAAAATGGCCGATGTATTGCGGCTGATGATGTTTTTGAACATTCATTTTTGGGACTCGATTAATTTTCCTGGCCAATTTTTCATCTAGCACGTTCATGTTCACATGTCTACTCCAGCTGTGAAGAGCGCTAGTATGAAAGAGAACAGAACAAGCTTAGGAGAGGGTCTTTGGGAACGCGGTGTTAGGCTGGATCTCTACGGTGCGCTATAGTTCTGGAGGTGGTGACACTCTCAGCTGATTGAGGACAGCCTACACAACTTCTCTTGGGACAGTATTAGAATCTACCTCAAGCGGCACAATTCCGCTCCAATATGCAGTTCTAGGATATTAACGGAATCTTCTGACCAGCATCTTGATATTGGAACGGCTTCTCATCCGGGTGTACGTTAAAACGACGGGTAGCGAGTAATATGGGACAGGACATAGTTGCCCATTTTCTTTGGCGTCGCTCAGTCTCGTGATTAAACAAATGCTACCACAAACCCTACAATAACATCCGAGTTTTTTCTGAGTGCTACCGGGTGGTTCAACCGCTCAGACTCAGAGACCAAAATGATTCTACGCATACTGAGGTGTTCATTTTACATGCATCGCTTCTGAGAGTAAGAAGATGCGAGGTTCATCGGCATAGCCAAAACAAACCCCCGAAGAAGGCTATGATGTTGCCCAACTTATGTCCTTTAAACGTTTTGAATCCGCACTTCTATCAACTGGTTAGTGAAAGAATACTTTGGTTTGAATGTCTACAATTTCATAATCAACATTACGCAAACAAGACCCGTTAATTACACCAACCAAGAGCCTTTGGTTAAACAAGAAAACACAGGACGGTACAGACGAATTCAAAGAGAACTCAATATCCTAAAACTGACGATCTTATTGCGACTGCGGTTTTTACGTCATTTCAGTGGCCAACGAACTTGATGGTGTGAAGACTGCAGTACCAGAATTAATATAGGTCAAGGTTATTGAGAATAGCCTCCAAAAATCTTACCTTGTTTAAAACGCTTGGGGCGTCAGTTTGACAGCTATTTAAGACAGGTTGATGTGCCGGGAGGCGACGCTGGGGGATTGGCAATCACAAATAACGACATCAACCCTGAAGAATTAATCTATGGGTCTGCATTCACGAGGTATCCATAGAGTCTTACAATGAAACGCAACTTGACTGCTATTCTGATTTTGTCATCTCAAAGCCCTTTGTTCACGTGATATCCGAGCGATTATTGGAGTCCAGTTTTCGTGTGGCGGTAAATGAGTTACTTGATTATTTGGCAGATGATACTGGAATGGTTTCAAATATTGGTTATTTCGTACATTAACGAAATCCACTGTCTCCTTGTCACTGTTAAGCTTTGTTGCGATACACTTGGCATCCCGGCAAATTATCCCACCTGGGTCTTGCCAAGTTGCTGTAACTAGTAAACTAAATGAATTGTAATCCAACAGAGGAATAAGGGTTAAATTATCGTGTAACTGCTGCGTAAAATGGTCCACTTGTATTCACTGGTTGTCTGACAAATTTAGATGAAAGTTTCTAGGTAGTATGATGAGATCCCTTAAAATTCTTGTCGTGCTATTTTTACCGGATTCAAAAAAGTGTGCCAACAAAAAACTCTAGGTTATAAGAGCAGCGGCACTGGGCAGGGTAATGAGGAAATGATAAATAGTTAATTTCCGGTGGGCACATATTTACCTTTATAATCTGTGTAACCAACTGCACATGGCCAACAGAGTTTCCCTTTGGTGTCAAAGTACCAGCAGTTTAACGCTTTGCATAATGCGCTGACCTTCGTTCAGTTTATCCACTCTCTCATAATCATACATTATTACAACGCATGCAGAAAATTCCATAATAACTAGCGTTAAATGAAACACAAATTTCGCAATGAGTTATGTTGTTTTTGGGCATCAGTGGTACTTGCTGACCAATGATTTATTGGCACAATTTTCTGTCCAAATGGAAGGTAATCATTTGAATAGAAAACACTACTGTGTGTATTTTAAACTCCACCAGTGATGGTTTGCCTGCCTAAAGTACCTTCCTATCACATGAAGTAAATGATTCTGTTCACTTGTTTGAATGACGCAAAATGGATCAATCTCACCGGAATATACTGCAGCTAATAATTTTGACACATTTACTTGCCGTCCATAGGTCAACAGCCTAGTTTAGTTTGATAACACTTGTCATACATATTTATTAAAAAGGAATGTGGATGTTTCATAACAAGGTAGGTACCGTAACCCCTGATTATGGCAATCTATTCACACAGGTACTTGACTTCCATCCAGTTTCTTACTGGCAGTATGTATTCATAACAGGGACCCAATTTCTCGTCCTTTACTAGCGTTGTTTAGCGGTAGTTTTGTAAAATTCTGAGCTCTTTTTTCAAAGCAGTGCACTTTCGGAATTTTCAAAAAGTCTTTACTTTGCAGTGGTGCAGGAACTAGATTGCTGCATTGGAGTTATCTCTAGAACAATGTTCTTTACTGAGGACTGTCAAGCGCACCTGAACTATCGGTGTTATTCACTGAATGATCAAAAATATCTTTGAAAAATATACCTACACACCAGGTAGATTCGGTCATTTTTCTATCAAGATGCCAAACTATTCTTCCTCCATTTTTTCATTATCCATCTGTCTTTTGTGTATTCTACCGAAAGTTGAAAATTATAATTGCTAGTTTGATCGAATCTGAAAATAGTTTCGTTTACTAGCGCTTCTAATATATGATGAATGTAGCCATATTCATGGAGTCACTCAAGGAAAGTTAGAATGAATATAGTGTAACGATCAGGTTAGTTGTTCCATTCTTACCAATTCTTATTTCTCGAAGATTGTTCATCGGTTCGTCTATTAATATGGGGAGAATATTTATTCATTGTGAGGAAAACTTATTTTTCCGATTGCAGGTTTCCTCTGTTAGCATCACAAATTTGCTGTTAGCGTATTGTCGGTTGATGCGAGTGTCGGACACAAAATTCATCAAAATTCCTTGTTTTAAAGTATGCCCTACCATTGTCTCTCTTTTGTTTTTATCTTATAAAAATTGGCCCCGAATTCCATATGTTCAGTCGAAAAAATCACCAAGAGCCTCTGTAGTTTGGTTTTTCTCTTCTTTTCAGTAGGACAAACAGGCGTCACCTGAGTAACTACTGTGAACTAACTTTAGGAGTAGTTTGCTAGGTAGTGATAATCCAAGTTATGGGAAATGCTGCGCTGAGACTGTTTGACTTGTAAGCGTGTTCGATAAATGGTTGGAACTAAAATGCCCGCGAACAAAGCTACATCAGGTTTCGGACGCGTTAGCAGAGAATGTTTGACTTGTAAGCGTGTTCGATAAATGGTTGGAACTAAAATGCCCGCGAACAAAGCTACATCAGGTTTCGGACGCGTTAGTGTAAAGGTTGAATTAGGTATTCTGATGATTATCAATCTCGCCCCAATAAGCCGTCCAACCCAGGCCCAGTGTGGCGAATAGAATCTGACGTTTTCAATTGGGATTAAAACCCGCTTGGAATCTATCCTACCTATAATTAACCTAACTGAATTCCCTCTTAAATTCGACAATTAGCAAACTCCGTAGATTTCACTTGTCAGGAAATCGGAGGCGCATGTTGAACCCATTTTCACAATGTGAATGAACCTCTAGATATGAATGCAAGCACATGTGCAATGTTAACTGTGTCATTGGTGGCACAAGTATATACGTATAAATATGGATGCATACATATACATGTATAATAAAACGGTACTAAATCCCAGTCTCGAACGCACAAATTTATGATCGTACCTTTCCAGAAGGCCACTTGGAAGGACCAACTGTGTTTGCTTCCTGAAGCAAAATTCAGTAAAAGTCAAGCAAAATCGCCCACGCGTAGGATAACCGCCTTATTTGTGTACAGTAAAGTGATCGCTGGTCGTGAATTCATGCGAATCATTAACTGAAAGTGTTTGAACATTTAGATCCGAATATACGCACATCAAGTGTTTGGTTATGAGTGATGACACACTAAATGGAATCCAATCTCTGTGTCATGAGCGGACTGCCTAAAGATAACAATCTATTGCCTTTTTTTTACCTAAGTGGCAATATAACTATCCACTGGAAAACATAACCGTTCCG